CTCGTCGAATTTCAAAATCTATTTTTTTCCTCAGGAGCAGTTATGATCTCAATATCAACATGTTAGAAAGGGACAAGTGTAAGATTGCGTTATCTTTGCGCGTAGATTATGCGCAGCTACTCGAGAAGTATCTGCGAAAAGTCTTTTATCAAATTGGAAATGCTGAAAAGTACATTATCAGTTTTAAAATAAGGTTCCATCTACAAGAGTCCGCACTGTTCTTCCGCGTAACAACTCGCATTCGGTTCTTCTCCTCTTGTACTTTTGTTTATGCATAGAGATCCCCAGGGTTCTTCTGCTATTACAATGTACCCGCCGCCCACATTGTCCCGTTATCAACGACACGACGGCACTACATTATCCTTGCTCTTCTAGATCCTATAATGGGAGCTTCTGAAGAAGAACTCCGCCGGCGTCATCCATCCGCAGCATCTAAGACTAGCAGTAATGACAGCTGGTCACCGGTCGGATCTCAAAGAAAGTTGTCTTTCGCCCAGAGGAGAGAACGTGAATTTAGTAAAGGGTAAGCGGTGATTTGAGTGAATTTTGTCTTTGCGTTAGTGTCTAATTCTCGAAATTTGTAGTTTTTTTTTTGAAACTTTCATTTAATGCTTGGGATCAAATCGCCTTCGGCACTAAATCACTACTCGGGTTCTTTTGATTTCTGCGCCAAGCTGTTTTGATTCTTATTATGTAGTCATAAAAGCACAATTCTTTCAAAAACTCATAGTATTCAAAATGGATTTTACGGGATTTTTCTGCGCAAATAATTCGAAATTTTTAAAAATATGTTTCCTACGCGATATTCCGCTTGTTTTGGCGCAGTTTGCAAATCCCTATGAATTCAAAAACCTGCGCGGATAAAAGTTTATCATTTTGAAACATAGTTTTGCTCTAAAAAAGTGCAATTTCCGGATTTGGTTGGAAAATGGATCAAAAGAACAACGCGAGGCGGTCAAGGCAATTTTGCCCGGCTTTCAATATATATACATATACTACTACTTATACATACTAATAACACAATAGAAAGCTATTTTCATAAAAAAAAACAATAAGTTTTAACAACACATCAGTGATGAAGTATATGGGCAATAGAAAAGCTTTTGAGTGGAAATAAACTACAGACAAAACTTCCCTAGGCCTTCTTTAGGATTTTCTGACTTGCAGCTTCATATCTTTGAATAGTTCTTTCTGTTATGGTTCTGAATCAAAGTAGACAGCTTGTGCACTCTTTATTATAGAAGGTAAGACACACTTACAATTTGAAAACTCTATATAACATAGGGTCGACTGCAGATGTGCCTCTGCTGACAACCCAAAATAGCGCGATTCGAAATACACCCTGTAACAACAGTGTACCAATTCGAACACATCCCTTTCGCGCTTTCTTTAATAGATTACGAAGGTCGGCAAGAGATGGATTGCAGGTTTGCTTGGAGGTGAACACCGCACCATTTAACAACTTTTCGCATATTTCATTGTTGAAGGACTTTGAGAGACTGAAGTTGACAGGATCAATGTTTTCTCATTTAGCTTTAATTCATGTGCAGTCATTCCAGTCAGAAAAAAGCGCTACATTTTTAAAAAATGTTGTTTTTCAATGGAATTAGCTCTTCTCTTTTTGTACAAAGTCAACTATGGGACATCTACATATAGTCAGTCGGTTGCTAAGGTTCACTACGGCACTTCTGCGAGCTATGTCTCGGCAGTGGATTCGAAAATTGAGCTGGGAAATGTGGTGCAATAGAAAGCTTTATTATGTTGAATCTGACGTCATTGAATTTCCTTTCTAATTTTGAATACACATCTCTTATAACTCCATCAGTCCCCCTTGCCTTTTCAGACCATGCGAGAAGATTGTACATCGGCCTCAGGACTCGCTATTTAGCAGCAGCTCAGGCTGGACCAACTACAGAGGCTTCTTCAACCTAGCCATGCTGCTTCTAGTGAGTTCCTGAAAGCTTTTTGAGGCAACTTCCGTGCTTCTTTTCATTCCAGATAATCAGTTTAGGTGGTTTCGAATGGGCGCGTAGCTCTG